AAATTGCTTTCTACATTTTTAATAATCAAAGATACACAAATCTGCCTGCGCGCACACGCGTGCGCACACACGCACACACACACACACACACACACTCTGCTAATCAGAACATTTGACTGGCTTTATATCATCAGTGTAACAACAATGCTTGGATGTTAATGTTTTAAAGGGCGGTTCATGGTCCTGTTTGCACTGGAGATAGACCACTCTAAATGCGTGGGAAGGACGAATTTTCGGGGAATACGAATAAATGGAAAGAGATGAATTAGAAAACAATATCACGAAATAAAAATGATGCAGGCCTGAACTGAGGGAGTGTTTCCAGAAATATTTAGGATATAAAATATCAGTGGTCAGTATACAATGAATTTTTATTAAATAAATAAATGTACAAATCTGGTTCTGTGGAGAACTAAATTCTGCTCATTTAAAGATGGTATCAAATGAGAAGTAAAATGATCCCCAGGAAATATCTAAGTTTTTCATGTTTACTTTGTAGTTCTGTTTTATGTCTTCCTTTGTTGAGGGAACTCATTTAGGTGTTTTGTTTTAAAAGTGTTGCTTTACAGATCTACTAAGCTCATAAATAAATAAGAGCAAACAAGTTACTGATTGTGATACAGATGGATATTTATCATGAACTTTCAAATTCTCAGATCTTTAACAAGTCTTATTATTCAGGGTCAAACTAGTAGAATAACAATCTAAAAATAAAGCTTTAACTTCTTAGAACATAAATAAAAATTTGATAAACTAGTATAAGTCCTTTCTTCATAGCAACAGTACCATGTTCTACTAGCCCCACAAACATACTCAGCTGAGTTTAATTAACTATTATCTCATTTTTTTCTGTTTTTAGTACTAATTACATGGATTTGCTCAGAATCTCCATATTTTGTTTTCCATAGAGCTTTGTTTATCAAAATTAAAATTCTTTAGGGAAGAATTTATCTTATTAACAGTATTACTGTCTAACCATTTTAAGTTTGAATATGCTTTTTTTCTTTTTTTTTTGAGACTGAGTCTCACTCTGTTGCGTGGGCTAGAGTGCCGTGGTATCAGCCCTGCTCACAGCAATCTCAAACTCCTGGGCTCAAGCGATACTACTGCCTCAGTCTCTCGAGTAGCTGGGACTACAGGCATGCACCACCATGGCTGGCTAATTTTTTTTCTACATATTTTTAGCTGTCCAAGTAATTTCTTTCTATGTTTAGTAGAGACAAGGTCTCTCTCTTGTTCAGGCTGGTCTTGAACTCCTGAGCTCAAATGATCTATCCACCTCAGCCTCCTAGAGTGGTAGGATTACAGGCGTGAGCCAACGTGCCTGGCCTCAATATGCTTGAGAGTACTGCGTGTGTCTGTGCTCTAGAGACACGGGCTTTAAAAAAATTTTAATGACTATATTTTAAATAAAATACCAATTACAATGAGATGGTCTTTCCTCAATGCACCTATATCTTTAGAATTTACTTCTTAATGGCCGGGCACAGTGGCTGACGCCTGTAATCCTAGCACTCTGGGAGGCCGAGGCGGGCCGATTGCTCAAGGTCAGGAGTTCGAAACCAGCCTGAGCAAGAGCAAGACCCTGTCTCTACTATAAATAAAAAGAAATTAATTGGCCAACTAATATATATAGAAAAACTTAGCCGGGCATGGTGACACATGCCTGTAGTCCCAGCTACTCGGAAGGCTGAGGTAGGATCACTTTGAGCCCAGGAGTTTGAGGTTCCTGTGAGCTAGGCTGACGACACAGCACTCACTCTACCCTGGGCAACAAAGTGAGACTCTATCTCAAAATTTACTTCTTAACCCTTGGATAAATATCAGAAAATTATATGAAAAATGATACACTTAAAAGGAACCTAATTGTTCCCACCTAAAAATAGGATAAGTCTAGTCCACACTAGATTAAAAGAGTACAGAGAGTACCATGAGACACGAAATGAATATATGATTAAAATTATTTTCCTTTTTTTCTTTATAAACAAAATTGCCGTATTTAAACTTTTTCAGACAAGTGAAAGGAAAAAGCAAAAGCACAGAAGTGAAACTTTAAAGGCCATTTCATGCCGGGCGCGGTGGCTCACACCTGTAATCCTAGCACTCTGGGAGGCTGAGGCAGGTGGACTGCTCGAGGTCAGGAATTCAAAAAACCAGCCTGAACAAGAGCGAGACTACATCTCTACTAAAAATAGAAAGAGATTACTTGGACAGCTAAAAATATATAGAAAAAATTAACCGGGCATGGTGGCACATGCCTGTAGTCCCAGCTACTTGGGAGGCTGAGGCAGGAGGACTTCTTGAGCCCAGGAGTTTGATGTTGCTGTGAGTAGGCTGACACCACGGCACTCTAGCCTAGGCAACAAAGTGAGACTCTGTCTCAAAAAAAATAAATAGATAAAAAGCTACTTGTGTCAATATGAATAGATCTCAAAAATATAATGCTAAGCAAACCAAAAAAAGTCACAGAATGATGTGTATAGTATACAACCATTTATATAAAATTTTAGGACATCAAAATCTACATATTAAACAAATTCTACATATTATTTATGACCACACACATCTATACTTAAATGTTTTAAAAGTGCTTGGGAATGATAAACACTTAATTCAGGGTGTTGCTTACCTGTCTGCAATAATTTTTAATAATATAAAAGGACCTTAAAGCCAACAGTTTCAGAATCACTGTTTTAAAAGACTGTGTCTACCAAATAGTCATTAAGGAATGATAAATTGCTTTCTACATTTTTAATAATCAAAGATACACAAATCTGCCTGCGCGCACACGCGTGCGCACACACGCACACACACACACACACACACACACACACACACACACTCTGCTAATCAGAACATTTGACTGGCTTTATATCATCAGTGTAACAACACTAAGATGAAATAATTAAAGTTAAAACGCAATTGACATATTAGCCAGTAAAGCTTTCCTCTAGGTAATGATCGGAATGCCAACAAGCATTTGAAACAACGGAAAAACTGCAGAATCCCGTAACTCACCTCAGTGAATACCTAACAAAGGATTCCAAACTGGGAATTTTAGGGTGTCAGAACATACCAACGAAAGTATCTTACTTAAAGCTTACATTTTTAAACTTTCTTTCTTATACTTGTAAGTATCCTTCTTCCAAAAATGGATACCAAAAATAACATCTGCATTATTTATGTCAAATCCTTCCACTGACTTTGGAAAAAACATTGATTAAAGAAAAAAATTAGGAATAAGACTGAGCATTTCAAATATTTTAATGTGCATCTTTCCAGAGTTAAATTTGTATTGCAAAATTTACCTGATCCATATGTGTGTTTGTCCTTTATTCCTACTGCTTTGTTCAGAACACAGTCTTTCGTTTCAATGGTAGGCTGAATGGGTTTTGAAAGAAAATGATTAATAAATAATGTATATTTTTTATAATATGTAGTTAATAATTCAAGATAAAAATATAAAAGTTATTACCTTCAAGTGAGGAAATTTCTTAGGAGACTCTAAAAAGTAAAAGGGACATATAATCAATTATATGTAAATATAACAAAGCCAACCACACTTTCATGCATAATTAGTATCAAGCTGAATCCTCATGCTTGGCTTTGAAAATGATTACTTTAGGTTTTGAGGTGGTTTTTTTTGGTTAGAACAACAACATGACAGAAATATAAGGAAGGAAAATTAGGAATACAGGTTTAATAAAACATGCAGTTAGGATTTTTAAAGTGAGACTATGTTTCAAATGACTATAAACAGAAAAGTACATATAATATACCAATGTTTACATGCTGATTGATGAGAAAAGTGATCCTTAATCAAAGGAGCAAATCATGATCCTGAGAGGATAAATATCAAAGCTGATGGCAGACTGCTACAGAATATTTTTAATGTTACACAGCAGAATCATTTATACCATTATATTATGAGTATTTATGATGTTCTTCAATTTGTCCTATAATTTAGGAATTACACAGTTGTGAGGACAGTTCAGTTTAATGGATAATTCATTTCTCTTCAGAGAAAGTGTTCTGAATTGATCAGCTTGGATATATACTTGGATATAGAATAATAGTTAATAAAAATATTCATTTTTTTCCATACCCATGTGAGGTACTGGTATGTCTACATTTCTTCTATCCTCTAGCTTAGCCATCTTAAAGTTTCTTGATCCACTCATGCAAGAAGGTATATAAAACACATCTAAGAAATAATGTATAATAAATTTTTGATATTGAAATTTTTATCAAAAAGGAAAAAATTGAATTCTCCAAAATTATTAGATATAACATTTTATATTTCAAAATCAGTGCAATATTTATTGAAAAGAACAATTTTAGTATTCAATGAATGACATCTATAATTTTTTTGTTTCTAAAATTAGTTTAGTTTGTTATATCACATTAGTCTTGAATGGACTTTTATGAAACAGCTATCTTATCAAAAACTCAGCTATCTTAAAAACCAGCCAATGCTTCTATGTTCAGATTAATCTCATTTGATTAATTAATATCAATACAACATATATCTTCCATATCTGAGAGTTACGGAGAGCAGGTATGTGTCACTGTGGTTTACCCCAATTCTAGTACTTCCTCCTATTTCTACTCATTTCTGAGCAATAATCTAATCTTCTGGGTGAGTGCAAATATACTGAAGCCATCCAAAGTGAGTTCTCTCTCAAGATTCCTCATCATTAACTACAAAATTAGCTGGCTCCCTTCTTTCTATCCTCCCTCCTTCCCCACTCACAATCCCTCTTCCTTTGCAAAAGTAATCTCAAGATCTGTGGTCTTGATTCTTCCACTTCTACCTGGGTGGGATTATTCCCACCAATTTTTTCCTCTTTATTTAGCAGTATTATCTTATATCTATAATTTTGATTTTAAATTTCTTTGCTCTTTTCCCTGTGGCTAGAAACATGCTCAGAAATAAAAGCAAAATAATGCTTTCCCTTGGTCCTGCAAGGTTTGAACTGTTATCCAATGGGTCTTCTTCCAGATTTCTCCACAGGGAAGTCTATACCTTGCTACTCAGAGTGGTCCAAGGACCAGCATCATCAGCATCACCTGAAAACGTATTAGAAATGCAGCATCCCGTACCTGCTGGATCACTCTATGCACTGTTAACCAGGTCTCCAGTTGATTTGGTAACATTTGAGAAGCTCTGGTCTATACTGAGTGTGCTTCTATACTACCGTACCTGAACTTAATTACCCTTTTGGAATCTAGCCTCAAGTTCCTCCCTATCACATCCCCAAATTGAAACTGCATGACAGATCATAAAGTTTCTAATGGACTTTGTATCAGGCTATAGCTTCCCTCATTTCCCCATAACCAACCCTACTCTCTTCTTTCCAATTCCCTTATTTTGGCATATATGATACTATCCTACGAAGTAACATGATTTTATATGACATTAAATTATACCCACATATGGCTGACCATATATGCTTATATTCCTCTGTGGTAGGTAGAACATAGCTCTGCATGATCAAGGACCTCAATCCTTAACACCTTCCCAACAGTGAGGAAGACAGGAAGAGTGGGGAAATTTTGCTCTATTTCTCTGAGCCATTTTTAGTGCTGGAAGCTCACTCAATATTCTTCCCACCTTTCTAACACCCTGTATTTCCTTTTATTAAGGAGTTATTTTATTTGACCACCATGCATTATATACACCTGTTTCTTTTCCCTTCATGTACTTCCTGTACTCTCTTCCTTCCTCTTTTTTTTTTTTTTTTTTTTTTTTTTTGAGACAGAGTCTCACTTTGTTGCCCCGGCTAGAGTGCCATGGCCTGAGCCTAGCTCACAGCAACCTCAAACTCCTGGGCTCAAGCAATCCTGTTGCCTCAGCCTCCCAAGTAGCTGGGACTATAGACATGTGCCACCATGCCCAGATAATTTTTTCTATATATTTTTAGTTGGCCAATTAATTTCTTTATATTTATAGTAGAGACAGGGTCTCGCTCTTGCTCAGGCTGGTCTTGAACTCCTGAGCTCAAATGATCCACCCGCCTCAGCCTCCCAGAGTGCTAGGATTACAGGCGTGAGCCACCGCGCCTGGCCCCTTTCTCATTCTTTATTCCCTTTTACTACTTTCCCCTTCCTCATTTCCTGACTTTCCTCGGATCTTAGAGCATCTTAAAATAGAACTAATAATTCAGGTCCTTTAGTGGCACTCTCAATTTAATCTATTGGTAACACCTGACAAAACATACAACTTATAATCATTTCACTTCTCTCTTTTCTTACTATGCATTTAATAGGTGATTTTCTCTGGCTATTAGAATAAATCAGACTCATGTTTTTAAATAAAGATTCCATCAAATGACTTTTTACAAATAAAAATACAGTTTTTACCTTCTACTTGTCCATTTACTGTGTCATCTTCTTTTTGATCTGCAGCCCCAGATAAATTATCAACATACTTCTGTGGAAGATTCTCAGAAATACTCTGTTAAAATTAATATCAATAATGACTTCCAATTCAGAAAAATAAAAATGAGTTGCTAAAGACTTCCTAATCACTTTCAAAAATAATCTACATTTCTTATTTTAAAAGCAATCAGACTTAAAAATAAGAGCAGCATGTACTGAAAACCAAAACACTTTAACAGAGAACTCATATATGCTCTCTAGATCAAGCTTATCATGTATATTCATATGGCTATTGACTCTGAAAACCCAGCAAGGAAAGACAAAGGAAACATATTCACAGATAAAGGATTAACTTACATGTGTATTACAAAAAGAAATGAACTACAAAATACCTAATTCACTTTGCATTCCCCATCAAAAATGAGAGCATTTTTAAAAAATACAATACAATTACTATCATGCTTACAGCACTAACCATTTAAAACACTTCCAATTATGAAAAAAAATTTAGTGCTAAAATAAGATACTTGGCATGATAAGCTATGAGTATGATGAATACAAACAGAACATTGTAGGCTGGGCGTGGTGGCTCACGCCTATAATCCTAGCACTCTGGGAGGCTGAGGCGGGCAGATTGCTCGAGGTCAGGAGTTCGAAACCAGCCTGAGTAAGAGCGAGACCCCGTCTCTACTATAAATAGAAACAAATTAATTGGCCAACTAATATATATAGAAAAAATTAGCCCGGCATAGTGGCGCATGCCTGTAGTCCTAGCTACTCAGGAGGCTGAGGCAGCAGGATTGCTTGAGCCCAGGAGTTGGAGGTTGCTGTGAGCTAGACTGACGCCACGGCACTCACTGAAGCCTGGGCAACAAAGCAAGACTCTGTCTCAAAAAAACAAACAAAAAAACAAAAAAAACAGAACACTGTAGAAGCTGCTTCACATTTAGGTAAACAAAGACTTGGAAAAATCTAAATACTTTTTGATATAATTTTTATTGATAGGAAAAATGGTTAAATAAAATGATAAAGTAGTAATAAAAACTCTGTTTCATGTTATGTTTAAATAAAACAAGTAAATATTAAGTATAGTATGCAACTCTTTACCAACTGAGAAATAACTTCAAAAAAGTATAGCAAGGTTGTTGGCAGGGCTCAGTAGCTCACACCAATATACCACCTCTTTGGAAGGCCAAGGTAGGAGGATCACTTGAGGCCAGGAGTTAGACACCAGCCTGAGCAACACAGCAAGACTCTCATCTTTACAAAAATAAAAAAATTAGCCTGGCACAGTAGCACACACCTGTAGTCCCAGCTACTCAGGAGGTAGAGATGATATGATAATCTGAGCCCAGGAGTTCTGAGGTTACAGTGAGCTATAATCCTATCACTACACTCCAGAAATGGTAACAGACTGAAACCCTATCTCTAAAAAAAGTTTTTTAATGAAAAAAAAATAGATATATATATATATACATAGCAAGCCTTAATAACAATGGAAGAATAAGAACATTTATTTGTGAAGCATCTAAAACAGGGGTCCTCAAACTACAGCCCACGGGCCACATGCAGCCCACAAGGACATTTATCTGGCCCACCGGGTGTTTTTGCCACCACTGCCTGTCCTGCTTAGCAGCCGACTCCACCAGGGCCCACAGTGCACATGTGTGGAATGTGCGCCACACTCTCCAATGGCCCTCCAACAGTCTGAGGGACAGTGAACTGGCCCCTGTTTATAAAGTTTGAGGACCCCTGTTCTAAAATGTGCCAGACACTAATTTGCACATTTTCTTTTCTACACAATAATAAAAGTGATTATGAAGATAGTTACCCCACTTCCAGCTTCCTGGTCATTCTAGGATGTTAAGAATAAAATGATGAACAGATGTGACCCATTGTTCTCTATGTCCAGAATGTCCTCCTCCTAGACTTTCACACAGCTAAGTCCTTCTCATCCTTTAGTTGACAGCTTTAATGCTACACTCAGAAATATCTCCTCTCACTACAGAATTCCACTCCCACTCTCATCCCCATCCTAACTACAATCTTCCTCAATATTCTCTAACCAAACATTCAGTTTTCTTCATATGAAGCACTTATAGTGACTCAATAGTGTTTGTTGTTTTTTCTGTTCCTCCTAATATAGCATAAGCCCTCATCTTGTATATTCAGTGTCTAATGGTCTATCACATAGTTGATATTCAATAACAGACATGTATTCAAGGCCTAATGAGATTTAAAATCTCATTAGGAAGGTCAAGGGCCGAATCACTACATTCCTATAGGATATCTCCAGCAATAATCTGCTGAACCTTAACATACCCTAAATTAGAAATCCACATACCCATTCTAATTTCCCAGCTTTCCCATTCTTTCCTTGACACTACTGCCTTTAGATTTCAAAAAAGTATATTCAATATTTATTAAGTCACTGAATACCACTGTGATAATTTTGTCTTACATTTATCTTACACTTTATAGCTTATAAAGTTTTTACATTTTTTTACCACAATTGTTTCATAACACATATCTAAGAAGTAGGTATTAGGACCATTTTTATGAATGAGGTCACAGACATTTGAATAGGTTAAATAATGTTTTCCAAGATTCATGGCTAGAAATAACAGAACCAGGACACTAATGTGTCTTCTGACCTCCACTTGATGCTGGTACCACTATGTGGCAGGTGCTTCTAAGAGGTCAGGCCCTTCCCATTTCTTTCCATAGTTGTCATCTTAGAATATGTCATTATTTTATACTTTTATTCCTATAAGCATGGTTGCCACAAAGGTATTCGATATGTTTTATTTTTAAAAATGATTTCTACTTATTAAAACACCATTAACTGTTGCTATTATAGTCCCACACATTTCTATTCCCCATGTTTTTCCCTCTCCTGAAATGTTCCTTGCAGATCTATACTGGGCAATCCAAATATATTAATACTTTCAAGTCCCAGGCACTATCCCCTCTAATTTCAAGTTATAACAATACAAAATCCAAACTGCTCCTCTCTGAATCTCATAAGGACTTTTACATATTCATATATGCCACAGAATCATACATGTGGCCAGAGGTTGACCTGAAATAATTTTTTAGTTTTTAGATAAACTTAACTTGAGAACCCAAACCACTTCCTTGTGACTTGTATGCCTTATTTGTTTGTACTATAATAGCCTGGTTTCTTAAATAAATCCTGTAAATTATCAGAGTTGTACCATTCAGCAGTTACATTTTTAGTAAATAATTACTTTATTAATTATGGGCCAAAAATGTAAGAAAATAATTCCTTATGGGTATATGCAGAGCTGAAAAAGTAAACTCAAAGCATTCCCTTTTATGTTTTAACATCACTCAATGCTTACATTTTAAAATAATAACAACATCAACAGTAGTACCTCAGAATCCCAAGGTGACTCTGTATCTTCTTCTTGTCCTAATCCTAATGCAGACATCATATCTATAAAATGTTATTCACAGATAAATTCATGAGAACATTTATTATTATGAATTTCAAATACACATACAAGTCTATTTCCATTCATAAATATTTCAATAAAATAAAAGTGATAGCAAAATGGAATTCTATAAGGTTAAAGTAATTTCAGAAAGAAGTTAGTAGTATGAAGAAAGACAATAAAAGAAAAATATTTAAAAGACATAGATATTATATTTGAGTCTATACACATTACATTTTTTTATAATAGCATTTAATCACTGAATAATTTCAGAGATATTCCCTAACTTACCGTTTCTATTATTTTTGCGCACTCCATCCAAAGTCAAATTGTCATCTGTTTGCTCTACTATAGGACTAGCAATACCGATACCATTTTCTTTTTTTCCAATTGCTGGCTTTGCTGTTCCTTCCTATTAAAAACAAAACAAAACACAACTTCAGAAAATGCTGTATTTATTCATTCACTCACCCACTCAATCAGTAAGACAACAAACATTTATTGTGTCTGTCAAGTCATAGGCACTATCCTGGAAGAAGTTGAAAAAATTGAATTGGAAGACAGATTCTGCCCTATATTCAAGTGGAGGTAGAGATATATGAAAACAAGTAAGAAGAGGAAGATCTAGTTCATTAGTTCTACAAATGAAGTAAATAAAGTACAGTACACGCACAAAGGAAAGAAGAGTCAGATATACCTGGAAATCTCAGGAAATGCTGGAAAGGCACGGCCTTTGAAAGACAAAGTGCAGAGCAAGGATGTGAGGGATTTCTAGACAGGGCAGCATGAGGAAAAAGATGAGGCATGAAACAGCATGACAAATGAGGGGCACCAAAGTAGTGTGGTAAAAGTGGGACACAGTTACAGAGAATGGGATGAAAAAATAAAACAAAGGAATCAGGCCAAACTACAAATGTGAACATCCCCCTTCACATAGTGGGGATCTATGCAATAGGCAGAAGAGTTCGATCCTCACACATATTCTTCAAAAAGGTCACCTGGGCCAGGCGCGGTGGCTCACGCCTGTAATCCTAGCACTCTGGGAGGCTGAGGCAGGCGGATTGCTCGAGGTCAGGAGTTCGAAACCAGCCTGAGCAAGAGCAAGACACTGTCTCTACTATAAATAGAAACAAATTAATTGGCCAACTAATATATATAGAAAAAATTAGCTGGGCATGGTGGCACATGCCTGTAATCCCAGCTACTCAGGAGGCTGAGGCAGGAGGATTGCTTGAGCCCAGGAGTTGGAGGTTGCTGTGAGCTAGGCTGATGTCACAGCACTCACTCTAGCCTGGGCAACAAAGTGAGACTCTGTCTCAAAAAAAAAAAAAAAAGTCACCTTGGCAGTATTGTAAAGACAGATGAACAGGGGGAGGGGAAAAAACTAGAAAAGAGCATTTCAAAATCACAGGTCAGAAAGTGAATTATGGTAATGAAATATGAAAAATGGCAAGCAGGGAGAAAACAGAACCTAGTGAGTGACTAGACTGGTGATCTGAGGCAGGGCTGGAGTGCAGGATTTTTCCTGCTTCAATGTTTCAGTGCCATTTACTAGGTGTTATTTAGGAGGATGGGGAAACCAGATGACAGAATAGATTACAAAGGGTCAGGAAAGAGTTAGGAAAGGGTCAGGAAAGAGTCAAGGGCAATGTCTTCAATCTGGGAAATATCAAGTTGAAGGCACCTAGAGGACTTACTTAGAAGATAGATCTGGATAAATACATTTGGAGTAAGAGTAGATGACCTTACTCAAGAAAAGCATATAGTGTTAAGAAGATAAATATTTGTAAAATATACTAAACTGGTAGAATTAAATAATGCAAACCTATACAGAACTCTGAAATTTTGAATATGAAAACAAAAAGAATTAGCCAAGTGCAGTGGATCACACCTGTAATCCTAGCACTCTGAGAGGCCAAAGTGGGTGGATCACTCAAGGTCAGGAGTTCGAAACCAGCCTGAGCAAGGATGTAAGGGGTTTCTAGATATCTAGCAAGGATGTCTAGAAACCATCTAGCAAGGATGTCTAGAAACCCCTCAGATCCCTGCTCTGCACTTTGTCTTTCAACGGCCCTGCCTTTCCAGCATTTCCTGAGATTTCCAGGTAGATCTGACTTTTCTTTCCTTTGTGCGTGTACTGTACTTTATTTACTTCAACTGTAGAACTAATGAACTATTATAGAATCATAAAGATGGAGCAATTACCAACAGAGAATATAAAATTATCTATGGAAGATGATGATGATGATAATGATGATGATTTTAAGAGATGGGGTCTTGCTCTGTTACCCAGGCTAGAGTGCAGTGGTACATTCGTAGCTCACTGCAGGCTCTAATTCCTGGGCTCAAGACAGTGCATGCCACTATGCCCAGCTTTTCTTTTAAAAATGTCTCCGGCAATGGGGGCGTTTTATATTATTCTCACAAAGCTTTTATAACTTCAGTATTCATGGTTGTCAAATCTTGCACATAATTTTTTAATCTTGAAAACTTAGGAATTTCTTAACTTGATTTGTTTAGTTTTTTCTTCTCTCCTCATGTAAATATTAGGTCCTGCTTAACAATCATAGATATATTTGAAGACTTTAAAATCTTCAACTTGAAAAAAAAATCTTCAACTTAGATAAACCTAGCTGTATTTTTTTAATACTAGGTCCTTTCTTCAATTTTTAAGTACCATCCTCTATGGTATGAATAGATAATTAGAGCTATTGTATGTTATTTACAGGGGAATAAGAATACCATACAAATTTTAAAATAGGATTTTATATTTCTTTCTGACATCACAGAAGTACTTAAAAATGTCTCATAATTCTATAATCACATAGGCATTTATCTTCTACAGCTTAAAACTTTTAAGACTGATTTTTACAAAGGAGTCTTGCAGCATCTTGAATTGGTGTTTTAGCATTAAATCCTTTCATTCAATTTAAAAATGTAGTTTACCATAATATTACAGAATAATTATTTCCATATATTAACAAAAGTATGGCTTATATCCTTGAAAAAATGTTGAAATACATAATTGAAAATTGAATCCCATGGATTTTTCCCTTCTTTATTTTTTGTTTTTTTTTTAAACAGAGTCTCACTCTCTTGCCCAGGCTAGAGTGCAGTGACATCAGCCTAGCTTACAGCAACCTCCAACTCCTGGGCTCAATCAATCCTACTGCCTCAGCCTCCTGAGAAGCTGGGACTACAGGCATGCACCACCATGCCCAGCTAATTTTTTCTATATATTTTAAGTTGGCGAATTAATTTCTATTTTTAGTAGAGACGAGGTCTTGCTCTTGCTCAGGCTGGTTTCAAACTCCTGATGTCAAGTGATCCTCCCGCCTCAACCTCCCAGAGTGCTAGGATTACAGGTGTGAGCCACTGCGTCTGGCTCAAGAAAACTTAAATAAGAAACAAGAATGAGGCCGGGCGCGGTGGCTCGCGCCTGTAATCCTAGCACTCTGGGAGGCCGAGGCGGGCGGATTGCTCGAGGTCAGGAGTTCAAAACCAGCCTGAGCAAGAGCGAGACCCTGTCTCTACTATAAATAGAAATAAATTAATTGGCCAACTAATAGATATAGAAAGAAAATTAGCCGGGCATGGTGGCACATGCCTGTAGTCCCAGCTACTCGGGAGGCTGAGGCAGAAGGATTGCTTGAGCCCAGGAGTTTGAGGTTGCTGTGGGCTAGGCTGACACCATGGCACTCACTCTAGCCTGGGCAACAAAGTGAGACCCTGTCTCAAAAAAAAAAAAAAAGAAAGAAACAAGAATCAACAATTAATAATTCATAATAAACTTGATAAGGCCTAAAACAAATTTCACTTTGTATTATCTATGAACACAGGTTTTACTGGATCAAATATAAGCTATCGCTTTACTAAATTTAAAAGAAGTGAGGATTAAATTTTCTTTGCTGGTTTTTTACATTTTTTAATGGGTACATAATATTTTCAGGGTACATGTGATAATTTCATACATTCATATAATCAAATCAGGGTAATTAGGATATCTATCACTTTCTTTTCCTTATGCTAGGAACATTCAAATTATTCTCTTTTGGTTAAATATACAATAGATTAATCTTACCTATACTTACCCTTACGTTCTTCATTAAGATCAGCTATAAGTCATTCAGAAGAATCTAAGCATTTTTTACATGACCTGGCTTTCTTTTCTTAATTTGCATTTAAAATAATTTTTATCATATCTGAGGGCCGGGCGTGGTGGCTCACGCCTGTAATCCTAGCACTTTGAGAGGCAGAGGCAGGCGGATAGCTCAAGGTCAGGAGTTCGAAACCAGCCTGAGCGAGACCCCGTCTCTACCAAAAATAGAAATAAATTAATTGACCAACTAAAAATATATATACAAAAAATTATTGAATCTGTAAGTCACTTTGAAAAAAAAAAAAAATTAGCCGGGCATGGTGGCGCATGGCCTGTAGTCCCAGCTACTCGGGAGGCTGAGGCAGTAGGATTGCTGAGCCCCGGAGATTGAGGTTGCTGTAAGCCAGGCTGACGCCACGGCACTCACTCTAGCCTGGGTAACAAAGTGAGACTCTGTCTCAAAAAAAAATAAAAATAAAAATAAAAAAATAATAATTTTTATCATATCTTATAGAGATCCTGCTCTCATTTAACCCCATTATTTTTGTTGTGTTTTTACAATAATCTCTCTCATCTCGGCTCTCTTATTCAATCTTTATAGTTATCTTGCCCTTCTTGAATAAATTCTTCCCCTTCATTCCCCTCCTCATCTTTATATTTGTTGAGCTGTTCTTCTGAGTTACTTTCTAACCCTTTCCTTCCATAATGGCAAATCTAAGCACAGTTTACTCCCACCAACTTTTAATAATATCATCCTCGTACATATCTCTCCTGTTACTATACACATTTTCTATATGATCATGAGGACTTACATTTCTTTCTAGGATCCTTGTCATCATTATGAGGACTGGGGGATGATATGTGAGAAGAGCATGAGGGAAAAACTTTTTTAAAAAAACAACTTACCTCTGCTGTAAGACCAAGGTTTGCCAGAGATGTGAGGGAAGGTTTATTAGGACGAGGGCCAGGTGATGGAAAGGCAGGATGAGCAAAGGCCTGGACTTTGACTGGTCTAGCAGAAAGGCCTTCAACCACATCTTCCCTTGGAGAATTCCTATCCTCAATCAAGATTGTACTTTCTGTCTTCACAGTGCCATACTGTGCTTCTACTACAGTAAAAACACAGTTAAGAGCACATGAAAATATTTGTAATTAAGAATCAATAAATAATACAAGAAAAGGCAGTCTTAAATAGCTTACAATTTTTCCTGGATTGCTGAGAAGCAGTCATTAGCTTTGTTAAACTTGGTTTGGGGACATTCTAGAAAAAAAAAATAGTTTTAAGAATAATACGTATCAAATTTGATAAAATAATTATAATATTTACCATTAGTATATGATCTAACACAAGCAGCGCAGGTTTCAGAGTCACTGAGATGTAGATTCAAACTTTAATTCTGCCATTTAGTCATTTACAACTTCTCATGGGGTAAGGATTCTGAGAGATGATACAGATATCCCCAAAATGTTACTCCCCTCACCCGTAGGCGACTATTATACAAATACTATGATATTCATTAGATTATTTTTTTAACCAAAATAACCTAAAACAAAAATTTTTCCCTAAGTAACAGAGTATTACTGAAAAAGCTAACATTAAGAAATTTAAGGCCGGGCGCGGTGGCTCCCAACTATAATCCTAGCACTCTGGGAGGCCGAGGCAGGCGGATTGATTGAGATCAGGAGTTCGAAACCAGCCTGAGCAATAGCGAGACCCCGTCTCTACTATAAATAGAAAGAAATTAATTAGCCAACTAATATATATAGAAAAAATTAGCCAGGCATGGTGGCACAAGCCTGTAGTCCCAGCTACTCGGGAGGCTGAGGCAGCAGGATTGCTTGAGCCCAGGAGTTTGAGGTTGCTGTGAGCTAGGCTGATGCCACGGCACTCACTCTAGCCTAGGCAACAAAGCGAGACTCTGTCTCAAAAAAAAAAGAAATTTAAGTTAATTGTTATATTTTGAATTGTGTTGGCATGATTTATATTTGCATGAATTAACTCTTGTGATGGAAAACAGGATGGATTGTTTTGAAGTAGTATCTTATTTAAATGGGTTATCATTGCAAACAGTATAAATTGCTTCTGTTTGTTTGCCCAAAAGCTAAACACAAATGATTATATAGATTTAGCTTGTTCTAAGAAAGAGGAAACAAAAATGAATAAACCTGTGGGGCAACGATCAATGAACAAAAGCCACACATAGCTACTAAATAAAAAGCTGTAACTAAATATGCTGACAATGGAGACAGAGATGGACTGAAAGAACAGACACTGAGAAAATGTGTTCTGCAAGGAAAAATAAAGGCTGGGGTAAATCATTTTTAAAAGGTGAGGGAAGAGGAAAAAACAAAGAAAAAAAGAGACATAACCAGCTAATTAAGTTTTAGCTCAAGCCAAGGAAGAAAAGGAAAAATATTAAGTACCATAAGGTATGTGGATACAATGCGTGGGATAGCCAAAAAGAAAAATAAATAAATAAATAAGGTACGTGGAGAAATACAAATATAGAGACTTTTGTTCATTGCATATCCCTAATAATACTGATTAGCATTTACTTTACAATCAATTCTTTGTAAATACTTCTAGAATGAAAAGTTTAATTTTATTACTATAAAATAAGTCATTCAAATAGTCAAGCATGGTCACCTACCACTACCTGAAAGCTATAACATTATTACTACTGAGAAAGAAAAACAGAAAAAGAAATGTTCCACGAACTTTCCACTTGGTGAAAAGAACTGGTAATCAGAATTCTAAAGAGTAAAGTATGGCTTAAAAAGATATATTCAATAGAACCTGGGCTGGAGCTAAAAATAATTCAAGAAATTTTAATCTGAAATCCTAATCTAAGTTTACTGTTGGAGGATACTAGAAAATATACTGGAACCCTCTTTTCTATTTATGAGATATTTTTAATTTATTTCCTTCTTATATGCAGTTCCATATTTTAGAAATGCAATAGATTGAATTATAATAGTAGGCATATTATAATACTTATAACACTTCATTATATAGAAATCATTTGTCTGTTCATTTATTCACATACAAAAACATTAAAATGCTTCTTACATGCAAAACTTTATCCTAGGTACTCCAGGAAACACACAAATATGTTTCCTAACCTCCAGTAGCTCATACTAATACCGGAGCTTTAAAATAATTATTTAAATAACTAAATACAAACTCTTCTGAAATAGAGTTTTATAATGTGATACAAGGACATTAAGGAGTTAGTTTTAAAAACTACAATACAAAAAATTTCTGAAATTAAAATCTTACCATATGGTTATTTAGAGTATCTACTTCTAGAACTGGCTATTACTTGGGGCAAAACATGTATTCTTCAATTAGACGAAGAGTTTTAAATATCTACTTAATAGAATGACTTTAAAAGTACCCATGGAATCCCTTTTTAATAATGATTCTGAGAAAGAGAATTTAAATTTCTAAATTTCCACAATTTCTTTTCTATGTTTTTTTAAATTAGAGATGAAGTCTCACTATGTTGCCCAGGCTGATCTCTAATTTCTTGGCTCAAGCAATACTCTCACCTCAGTTTCCCCAGGTACCAGGACTACAGGCATAAGCCACCATGCCTAGCTAAATTTCCACAATTTCTAATGTTATTTTAGTCTAATTACAGAACCAAGGATAGAAACAGAGAAAAAGCTCTCGCCTAAAAAGTATACAATACCTGGTCAGGCATGGTGGCTCACCCCTGTAATCCTAGCACTCTGGGAGGCCGAGGCGGGATGATCGCTCAAGGTCAGGAGTTTGAAACCAGCCTGAGCAAGAGTGAGACCCCGTCTCTACTAAAAATACAAAGAAATTAATTGGCCAACTAAAAATATATAGGGAAAAAATTATCCGGGCCTGGTGGCATATGCCTGTAGTCATAGCTACCTTGGGAGGCTGAGACAGAATGATTGCTTGAGCCCAGGAGTTTGAGGTTGCTGTGAGCTAGAATGATACCACGGTACTCTAGCCCAGGAAACACAGTGAGACTGTGTCTCAAAATAATAATAAAATAATAAAATAAAATACATACTATACCAAAAGTAAAAGTGTCCAAGAAAAAAGGAAACTATATGTTATATATTGCACAGTTTTGGAACAGAAAGACACCAGGAGATTCCATTATTACTATAATAAGTAATTAGATCCATTAAAGATTTATTTAGGCATAAATATTATAAAAGTCATGTTAGTGGCTGGGCGCGGTGGTTCACGCCTGTAATCCTAGCACTCTGGGAAGCCAAGGCAGGCGGATTGCTCAAGCTCAGGCCTTCGAAACCAGCCTGAGCAAGAGCGAGACCCCATCTCTACTATAAGTAGAAAGAAATTAATTGGCCAACTAATATACATAGAAAAAATTAGCCAGGCATGGTGACGCATGCCTATAGTCCCAGTTCCTCGGGAGGCTGAGGCAGGAGGATTGCTTGAGCCCAGGAGTTTGAGGTTGCTGTGAGCTAGGCTGACGCCAAAGCACTCTAGCCCGGCCAACAGAGTGAGACTCTGTCTCAATCAATCAATCAATCAATCAAGAGGAAATAATGAAATTTGGTCAAGGTTTACTTGCATAAATTCTCTTACTGTGACTTTTAAATGATACTAACATGACTTTTTTTTGAGACAGAGTCTCGCTTTGTTGCCCAGGCTAGAGTGAGTGCCTTGGCATCAGCCTAGCTCACAGCAACCTCAAACTCCTGGGCTCAAGCAATCCTCCTGCCTCAGCCTCCAGAGTAGTGGGGACTACAGGCGTACACCAACATGCCCGGCTAACTTTTTCTATATATTTTTAGTTGGCCAATTAATTTCTTTCTATTTTTAGTAGAGACAGGGTCTCACTCTTGCTCAGGCTAGTTTGGAACTCCTGACGACCTTGAGTGATGCTCCTGCCTCAGCCTCCCAGAGTGCTAGGATTACAGGCATGAGTCAACATGCCCAGCCTCCTCTATATTTATATAGAGAGGATATTGTCTTCACTGTGTATTTTCCAGCTCATTTTTTTCAGCCCCCACCCCCTCAAAGTATTTACCAATCTTTCATTATCTGCCAGAGTAAAAATGCGAAAAAAACAAAAAAAAATTTCAACTAGTCATAATTCTATAAATTGGTTTCCTCCTACCTCCTTTCCATTACAAAAAGAAAACAATGATAGGTAGACCACTGTTAAATTTAAAAAGTAAATACTATAAAAAACTAGAATCAAAGTGAGAAAATTAATTTCACAAGAGACCACTTTACCTTGGTATCAAAATCAAAGTCTTCATCATCTGAGGTAGGCCACGAATCATCAATACCCGGTTTATCAGAAAGCCTTTAGCACAAAAACATACAACAAGATGAGCAAGTTCATTTCTTTAAAAAGAAAAAAATCTGCTGGTTCACCCTCCAAAAAACAAATACAAAAACAAAAACAAAATCTGGTGAAAGGTCGGCTATCTGTATATTAAAAAATTAAACAGTGTCTCTTAATATAATTAGAATTTGGCCTATTTTAAAAAACTGTTCTACAATAGTTACCTATTTCTGTCTCTAGCACTCCTAAACTATGAAATATTCCGGGAAGACTCACCTATAATTCCATAATCAATAGTGACAACCAATATACTGCCAAAGCCTAAGAATAATTTGTCTTCATAAACTGTCTCCCCTGGAAGGTGAACTAAAATTCCAATTAAGAGCTTACATACCTTTTGTTACCTGAACTGGAACAAACCTGATGACCTGAGGGAGAAAGATACAATGCCCTTTCTCCATTATCTATCTCTGGTTCAAAGACTAATCTTTGTTATTCAAAAATGGCGGTCTTGGTTCTTCAGCATGGAAACCATTTAAGAAGGCCCCATTGCTTCCCTCTACCCTAAAACAGTACAGGGGGGGTCCCCTGAAATATTTGAAAGCTAAATGTACAAAAGTTAAGGAACAGGCCGGGCGCAGCGGCTCACGCCTGTAATCCTAGCTCTCTGGGAGGCCGAGGCGGGCGGATTGCTCGAGGTCAGGAGTTCGAAACCAGCCTGAGCAAGAGCGAGACCCCGTCTCTACTATAAATAGAAACAAATTAATTGGCCAACTAATATATAGAAAAAATTAGCCGGGCATGGTGGCGAATGCCTGTAGTCCCAGCTACTTGGGAGGCTGAGGCAGGAGGATTGCTTGAGCCAGTAGTTTGAGGTTGCTGTGAGCTAGGCTGACGCCACGGCACTCACTCTAGCCTGGACAACAAAGTGAGACTCTGTCTCAAAAAAAAAAAAAAAAAAAAAAAAAAAGTTAAGGAACAAATGTGCAAGCTATTTTTAGGAATACTCTTCCCAGAAAGATTAAAACATTAAAAATTATAAAATCCAATTATTTTCCCTATATAAGTCTTACCTTATTCAGGTCCACATAAACTAGCAAGCCCTTTAAAAACCTTCAGAGGCACTCAGATACCCAAGCACAGAGACTGTTAGAAAAACAGAGTCCTGGCAGTTATAATTCTATTTCTCTAAGTTCTATCTAATCATCTTCCTTTCAATGGGCTCTCACTTCCAGATCCCTCTTCTGCAGGGCTCCATGACAATCTCCAACCTTTCAGTCTTCAGCCTATGAAAGTACAGGCTCCTGAAAAGATGGGTTCAAATGACTAAGAGTAGGATCTATTTCCCTGCTCTTGGAAAACAAGCTAAACAGAGTCTCAGCCATCTGTCCCTAGCACAGGCACGTTACCAAGTACTCAACTGAACCTTCATGACCGATTCACCAGCCAGTCCTACCCCTGCCATACCCTATATGTACATGGGAAGGACATCAGTGAATTGGGAAGAGGCAGAGTGGGGGAACACCTGCCCTGGGCCATGTAATTTGGCAACCTCCAGCCCCGTACTACTCGAGGGGCTCTAAGCCACCCCTCTGTAAATTGGGTGCAAATAGCTGATGCCACATTTCTATCTGCTGAAGAGACTCTTCCAATGGCTCAATTCTTTTACCAAGCTTTCAATAGAAAATTTCAAGTTTGTCAGTTACTCCAATTAAACAAACAAAAAAGCAGCAACCTGTTCAGGACTTCCATGAATCCCTTATTTTAATATGCCTCTCTAGATAACCTTTCATTCCATGATTTATCTTTATCAAATTTGTCATAACACCCCAATCTTCTGATTTTTTTCCTAAAAGCCTTATTCCTATCCAACACAGTGTTGCTTCTCATCAAACTTAGCCTTAGCCAGCTAATCATTCTTATCCTCCTCCAATGTGTTCACTAGACCCACCCTCCCATGCTATATTATGTTCTATATGCAGATATCCTGCACTTACAGTAAAATAATTCCTCTCTAGGACTTGCCTGGTCTTACTTATATAAAACTTATAGTGCTAGGGCCACAGCTAAGTATAGTCTGGACTAAAACTTTGATGGTTTTTAAAAAAAGGGCCAGACACGGTGGCTCATACCTGTAATCCTGGCCCTTTGGGAGGCTGAGGCGGGAGGATTGCTTGAGGCCTGGAGTTTGAGACCAGCCTGAGCAAAAGCAAGAACCTGCCTCTACCAAAGAGTAGAAAAATTAGCTGGGCATGGTGGTACACACCTGTAGTCCCAGCTACATGGGAGGCTGAGACAAGAGGATCGCTTGTGCCCAGGAGTTGAGGTTGCAGTGAGCTATGTTGATGCCACTGCACTCTAGCCCAGTCAACAAAGTAAGACTCCATCTCCAAAAAGGTACTGGTTACCACTGCAATTGTCGAATATATGCAGACAAACTCTTGGACTAACCAGGCTTTCTGAATTGATCTGACTGGGACCTGGTACTTTGATACCCAGTGCTGCACAGGCCTCTAACAATCTATGCTGAGGGGCAAGAGAAAGGATTTGAGTGAGAGCCAGGCAAGCTGATGGTCAAATTATGGGTCAGCTACTTGTTAACTATGGGATCATGGGCCAATTAATCAACTTCTCTGAACCACAGTTGCCACAGTTTTTTAATAAAAAGTAGTACATAATAGCAAAGATACTTTGCAAAGCTATTGTGATGACTACACAAGATGATAAATGTTAAGCACAATATGGTGTCTAACCCAGAGAAGAACACTCAACAAATATTGGCTTCTTTCTCTGTATACCCTAGATAACAAAATTTTTTAAAATCTGTAAAATCCTACCTGCTTAAAGAGTCTTCAGAACTTCCATCCACTATTAAAGAAAAAAGTAAAATACATTTTAAATCAACAATACAAAAATACTCTAAAACTGTTCTTTTAAAAAGGATACCCACAAAGAGCTTTTAAAAGTTAATCCAACTTACTTTTTAGTAAGCTTACTTGTTAGTACTGATATTCCCTCCTTGAAATTCTCCTTTTTCAAAAAAATTTCTGCAACATCCTTCCTCTGATTCCTCTCCTACTTTTTTCTAGCCACTGCTCAGTCTTCTTTACTAATGCCTTTTCCTCTGGGAAGTGTTGACATTCTCAGGGTTGTGTCACTGGCGTTCTTCTCATTCTACATCTTCTCTATCTTGTACAAGCTCATTCAGATCTACGACTTTGCCTAATAATTATAAGATTATTTTATGACTGTATCTACAACCTCAGAGTTCTGTCCCCAGCTAGAAATGCCTATTATTGGTTACCTATTGAAAATGCCCTACATGAATATTCCATTAAACTTGAAGTATATTTAATACATAGAATAAGCTGGTCTTCCCTGCTGACCTGCTGCTCATCAGTTTACCTGACAATTTCTTACCCTTTCTTCATGTCAAGTTTAAACACTAGTGTACAACCTGGAAACCTATGACATCTGAAATTTTCCTCTGCCCCCTAACTTGTTATATCTAATAATCACTAAATTGTACTAACTGTACCTTTTTTAGCTTTTGCTTTATATTTCCACTGCCACTGGAAATATAAACATATAAAATGGATACATTTATATTTCGTAAACATTGGATCTTAACTGATGGCTTTCACAGAGGAAAAAAACCCACCAACTATGAAAGTCATGTCTTAAATTAAAAAAAAATTAAAAAAACAAATGAAAAAGGCATAATGCCAAGAAAAAAAAACAGCATTTAAGAATGAATAAACTGGCCGGGCACGGTGGCTCATGCCTGTAATCCTAGCACTCTGGGAGGCCGAGGTGGGCGGATTGCTCGAGGTCAGGAGTTCGAAACCAGCCTGAGCAAGAGCGAGACCCCGTCTCTACTATAAATAGAAAGAAATTAATTGGCCAACTAATAGATATAGAAAGAAAATTAGCCGGGCATGGTGGCACATGCCTGTAGTCCCAGCTACTCGGGAGGCTGAGGCAGAAGGATTGCTTGAGCCCAGGAGTTTGAGGTTGCTGTGAGCTAGGCTGATGCCATGGCACTCACTCTAGCCTGTGCAATAAAGCGAAACTCTGTCCAAAAAAAAAAAAAATGAATAAACTGAGCTTCCTAACTTTATTAATTTCACCATGGATAAGTGAAAACCTGATAACAGATTGATACCAGTCCAAGGATTGGTGACAAGGAAACTTTGGGTTTGCCTACTACAAAAGCCCCCATTCTCTCCCAGTTTCTTTGGGTGGTTACAGTACATCTATCCTCTACATATGAGGGGTCAGAAAACTACTAGTCACAGGCCAAATTCAGCCTGCCATATGGTTCTGTAAATAAAGTGTTAACTGCAGCACAGTCACACTTTTTCACTTACATATTACCTCTGACTGCTTTCACTAAAATGGCAGGGTTACATAGATACAACAGAAACCACAAGGCCTACAATATTTACTATCTGGCCTTTTACAGAAAAAAAAAATTGCCAATCCCTGCTTTCTATTAAAACCAGAATGCCCCCTAGCTCTCTGGGAGGCCGAGACGGGCGGATTGCTCAAGGTCAGGAGTTTGAAACCAGCCTGAGCAAGAGCGAGACCTTGTCTCTACTATAAATACAAAGAAATTAATTGGCCAACTAATATATATAGAAAAAATTAGCTGGGCATGGTGGCGCATGCCTGTAGTCCCAGCTACTCGGGAGGTTGAGGCAGGAGGATCGCTTGAACCCAGGAGTTTGAGGTTGCTGTGAGCTAGGCTGACGCCACGGCACTCTAGCCTGGGCAAACAAGTGAGACTCTGTCTCAAAAAAAAGAAAAAAAAAAACAAAAACAAAAAAAAACCAGAATGCCCTAATACTCAAATCTAATCTTATGCCTCCCCTGCTCAAAATTCTCCAATGAATTCCTGAAGCAAACATTGCTGGCGTCCTACTCGACAGCCATTCTTCATTCTTTCTTGCTGTAGAAACACAATTCTATTTGGATATTTATCATCCCAATATACCTCCCCAGCTCCAAAAAGAGAAATGATTATTCTAAGCTATTCACAATGATTACATCTGCTTTCCCAATGACAGGTTTAGGAATAAGCATGTGCTGTAACCCAGCCAATAAAATGTGACAGGCAGTCCAGTGCAAGCTTCTGAGTTTTATTCCTATTTAAAAGAAAAATGTGCCTAGCTCTCTGGGAGGCTGAGGCGAGAGGATCACTCAAGGTCAGGAGTTCGAAACCAGCCTGAGCAAGAGTAAGACCTCGTCTCTACTAAAAATAGAAAGAAATTAATTGGTCAACTAAAAATATATAGAAAAAATTAGCTGAGCATGGTGGCGCATGCCTGTAGTCTCAGCTACTCGGAGGCTGAGGCTGAAGGATTGCTTGAGCCCAGGAGTTTGAGGATGCTGTGAGCTAATAAGCTGATGCCACGGCACTCTAGCCCAGGCAACAGCGTGAGACTCTGTCTGTAAGTACATACGTGAATGAATGAATGAATGAAAGAAAGAAAGAAAGAAAGAAAGAGAGAGAGAGAGAGAGAGAGAGAGAGAGAGAGAGAGAGAGAGAGACAGAGACAGAGACAGAGACAGACAGACAGACAGACAGACAAATATGAAGGAAAGCAACCCTTCCAGCCTTTAGATACTGTCTTGTGAGAACATGATGTTTGGAGCTGTTGCAAATTAGCCAACTATGAAAGGAGACACCACCAATAGCACAGCTAAAAGAGTGAAAGAGGGACAAATAGGATCCTGATGACATCACTGAACCACCAAAACAACTCTGGTCATCTGGTTAAGTCATCTATTATTTACACCCCAAAGGATTCTAACTGATAAATTTCCCATAGCCTACCTACAGGATAAGATCTACTCATTTCTACAGTATTGAAAAGTCTTTCCTAGGCTTGCCTTAGCTGGGTATTTACCTCATTCCCAACCTCTCCCACATCACACTTTTTGCACTTGCTAAATGTAACTGCTCATAAACCCTGCCAAGTTCACACATGTATCTTAGCATTTTGCACTTGCTGTTCCTTCTGCCAAACATGCAATCTTATTAGATATTCCTTCTGCCAAGCACCATCCTTCTGCCTCTTTACTCACTCTGTGCTTACCTTAAATCCTACCCACTTTTTTAAAGCTGCAATTCCTTACCACAGGCTAAGTGTCTGGCACATATTTAACATAATAAATGATAATTATAAGCTCCTATAGGGCATCTGGTACACAGTAAACACTGAATACAGTAGTAAATAATAAACAAGACAATGATAATAACTAGCTCCTGACTGTATTTGTAAAATGTTTGTATTCTGTAACATTAGAAAAATGCTTAGTACCTAAAAGACACTTAATAGTTATTCAAGTGGACAAAGTAAATAAATGAATAAAAATTTTTTCTTTGAAAATTCTGTTGAAAAAACACAGAAATTTAATAGAGAGCTCTATTCTAACATGAACACCTTAAAGACCAAGACTATGTCTATTCAATCTTTATGTCTCCTGCAATTAGCAAAACCTAACTTACAGAAGTTCTTTGATAAATATATACTAAATTAAAGGTGTCCTCATACAGTTTAGATTGTATAATGCATTAGATGTCACATCTAAGTAGCATGGTAATTTTGGTTATTGTGAAACATGTTTGTAATTTTATTATAGTTTGTTGAGCTCATAGTTCGACATTAAGAATATCTATTATGATAATCTTTTGGCTAATGGTAACTTGTTCTACCAAAATTACTGTTATCCTGACAATTATCCAGCAGATAGAATAACATATCTTGTTTTAACTAAGTAAATATATCCCATTTGATCACAACTTAGGGGAAATGAAATCCGTAAGAGTGAGACTTTGTTGGTATAAGAATATGTAACATGACCTGTGCTTCTCAACAAGGAATTGCTTTTCTGACTTCTGTACTCAGTAAGTATTGTTAAAAAATAATCTCCTATTGGTATTGGTACACACTGCCTAAGTTTTACAGTTCTTATTGCCATCTGTTTATGGTAACACAGTTAATTTTAGTGACATAAATCACTATGCAAGGCCGAGGCAGGATGATTGCTCGAGGTCAGGAGTTCGAAACCAGCCTGAGCAAGAGTGAGACCCCGTATCTACTATAAAATATAGAAAGAAATTAATTGGCTAACTAATATATATAGAAAAAATTAGCCGGGCATGGTGGCGCATGCCTGTAGTCCCAGCTACTCGGGAGGCTGAGGCTGCAGGATTGTTTGAGACCGGGAGTTTGAGGTTACTGTGAGCTAGGTTGATGCCACAGCACTCACTCTAGCCTGGGCAACAAAGCGAGACTCTGTCTCAAAAAAAAAAAAAAAAAAAATTCGTGTTATTTGACAGTTTATATTATCTGTCAGGCTTCTGGTCAAAGGAGGGCATTAGAAGTTAAGTTTTCAGGGAGTCAAAAGTTATGCACAGATTAACCCCTGTGATGTTCTAGGGTCAACTGTAATTAACATTCTCCTAAATGTAATCCATTTATCATAAAAATTAAATAGATCAATTTTTATAACAAGTCCAATTAGTTATAATGTGACTATAAAAAACAACATACTAACTCAAAAATCTTTTTTCTTATTTATGCAAAAATTTCATACAGTATTTTAGGGACCAAAATTAAATAATAGTTTTTGGGGTTTTTTTTAGATAATACTGTTTGAGATTATAAATGACCTACAACTAACTTCTTAATATAATTCTAAATTCTAGAGTACTGAGAAAGAAATTAAGAAACAATATACATTTACAAATTGAGCTTTGTTTTTTGAGACAGAGTCTCCCTTCATCGCCCTAGATAGAGTGCACAGTGGTGTCATCACAGCTCACTGCAACCTCAAACTCCTGGGCTCAAGTGATCCTTGGGAGCCTGAGCCTCCCAAGTAGCTGGGACTACAGGGACACATCACAATACCTGGCTAATTTTTTTCTATTTTTAGTTGAGACAGGTTCTCGCTCTTGCTCAGGCTGGTCTGGAACTCCTCAGCTCAAGCGATCCTCTCTGTCCCTGACCTCCCAGAGTGCTAGGATTACAGGCGTGACCACGGGGCCTGCCTACACATTGATTTTTTTTTTTTAACTGCTCTTTTGTGATAAAAAACTTCCTTAATCTTCCTTTTTTATCTAAGGTAGGACCACCAAGAGTAATTCACACTATTAAAGTCTTACCTGAATTGCTATGTTCAGAAAGATTTTCAGGTATCTTTTCTTCTTTATATTCAGAAATTAGTTGGTAATTGCTATGTATAAAAAAATGTAACAAATAAAATTAATATTTTAATGCTGATATGAAAAACATTTACCAAATATATTAAATTCTTAGAGTATTTCAGACAATATCAGAGCTAATATCAGAACATTAATGATCCCTTACACTTCAAATTTAACTTCTTATTAAGCTTGTTATTAAAGAAACAAGGTAAGGAGGATTGCAGGGGTCATGAATTGAGGGCAGTATGGCTCAGTAAATTAACCAGAATTAGCCTGACATAATGGAAAGTGTCCCAAGCTCAAAACAAGTGCTAGCTCTGTGACCAAAAGCTATTTGTTCTTGGACAAGTTGCTTCTCTTAGGCTCAACACCTTCTTCAAAAAAATAAGGATTTTCCTCCCTTATTTCACTAGGCTGCTATGATAGTTTAACAACATAACATTTTCTAAATGCTCAGAGAAATAGTGAAGCAATGGAATAATCTGTTCTTGAACTTTATTGCTGAAAATATTTTGGAATTCCCAAATAAAATCGAATGTGTATTTTTTCATAGGTTCTAATACTGTTTTCAGAAAATGTTATTAAGTTCTATTTTTGGTTATTAGTTGTTCTATTCTTTGTGCCTTATAATTCAAGGCACCTCAGCTATTTTGTAATTTGCAACAAAATTTATTTATAAATATATTATCTCATTAAACTAGATAACATAATTGTCCCCTATTATTGAACTGATCAGTCACACCAAGGACAGAAAACTAACAGATGTCAAGACCTGGCCTGGACTACTACTACTGCTTCTCTATCTACTCAAAACTCTGACTGAATAGATCGTTGTTAGAATGATGCTTAATTTTCATGTTTGTTTCCAACTGATGTGGAAGACAAAACCCTACATTTATTTTAAGTTCCATGAAAGAAATGAAAGATGACATTTTCTCACTTTTGAGATACATACAAGATATTGCACACAACATCGCACATGTTACTCAGCAATGTTTTCATTTCATAGATCACCTTACATGAATATTTTTGTAGTGAAAATTGCAATTTCAATACTGGGTCCTACCTGTTTTGTTTTGACTCACAATGTTTCCTTAGAGCCAGTAAGCAAATAGTCAAATGATCTTCAAGCACTGCACAAAATATGGAATGCTTCCCAAATTTACATGTCATCCTTGCCCAGAGATCATTCCTAATCTTCTCTGCATTGTTCCAGTTTTAGTATATGTGCTGCCAAAGCAAGCACAAAGCCCTACATTTATACATGCATACTGACTGAGTCATGGTTTAGCTCTGTTAGATCCAACTAACCTACTTCAGATTCTGAGAATCCTGCTGAATGGATTCTTGATAAGGTAGAATTTGAAAGTATTTTTAAAACTTCAGGTAGAGATGCAAGTACTAAGAACACAGATCACTTCAGGGGCCAACCCTAAGTTGTTGCCCACTACTCTGGGAAAGAACAATATGGGCCCTTCCACTACCAAGGAAAGGTGCTACCCAGGATATAAAGGAGCCTGGGAGTACAGATCTGGTAACAAAGAAGAAAGTAAACTCCCATCTTTTCTTGCAACATTATTTGAACCTCTCTGACTGTTTAATAGAATCACGACTAATATTTAATAGAGAAAAGCCAAACAAGGGCCTCAAAGGATAACTTACCATGAAGGTCTAGGCTAAGTCTAAGCTGAGACGTGGGCTCCACACGAGGTTTTCAGTATGCGGGGAAGGGTCACTTTGTTCACTATGTGTGTGGCTAAAGCCAGGAGGCCCAGCTGCCAAAGCAGGGTGCTGGTGCTTTGTGAGCCATGGTTGAGCACATAAGCATATGTATGTGAACTAAAAAAAGTTATAACTTTAAAGCCTAAGTATGGATCCCTGTGAAGACTAAGGGATCTGAATCAGTAGGAACATCTTGGTAGCAAAGGTCAATTATTAACACACTGCGGGATCACTTTCAATAGCAATAATGCAGCAATAGAATCAATAGAAACCACAGAATGATGAGAATGTCCTTATTTCCCCCCTCCTGACTCATAAAAGAAGACTGTCTTCCTTGGACTTAGGGAGCCCCTTAGATACTTGAAAAATTTGGAAGTAGGAATAGGGAGATAGCCCCCAGGGGATAATACAAGATTTTTCTAGACCCAAATAACTAATTAGAAAAATCAAAGATGTGACACTATTTCCATCCCATGCATAGGGTTATACTTGGAATGAAATGACCAACGTTGGCTGGGCGTGGTGGCTCACGTCTGTAATACTAGCACTCTAGGAGGCCGAGGCGGGCGGATTGCTCGAGGTCAGGAGTTCAAAACCAGCCTGAGCAAGAGCGAGACCCTGTCTCTACTATAAATAGAAAAAAATTAATTGGCCAACTAATATATATAGAAAAAAGCCGGGCATGGTGGCGCATGCCTGTAGTCCCAGCTACTCGGGAGGCTGAGGCAGTAAGATTGCTTGAGCCCAGGAGGTTTGAGGTTGCTGTGAGCTAGGCTGATGCCACAGCACTCACTCTAGCCTGGGCAACAAAGAGAGACCCTGTCTCAAAAAAAAAAAAAAGAAAAGAAATGACCAACATTGAGATCCCTAAGAATCTCAGGACTTAAAAGTCTTGGGTTAAGGAATCCTGCACCCAATGCTACTCCTAAAAGTCTAGCCTTTTGCTTGATTTCTGGCTAATAAAGTGGACTAACTCACTGCCATTCCAAAACTACCTGTACCAAGCTATGAAATCGCCAATGATGTGTAAGATGCAATATTTGTAATTATTTTAAGCCTCAATTTAGTGTTAACTGGCCTTTAATATAAACACATTTTAAAACTACAAGCAACAACAAATTCTTCTGTAGTCCATCCACAGACATCTTAAGAAAAGACATCAATACTTTGTTGAAGAAGCCTAACTTAATTTGATAGTTTGTAATAATGTACAGCAAGCATAAAGAGCTGTTCTAAAATAACAGAGATAACTTCACGCTTAGGTACTTTAATAAAGTTATTTAAACAGCTAATTTGAGATTCTTTACCAATTTAACGTCTTGCTTGTCTATAAAGACTACTTATATGTATTAACAAACATAGGCATCTTAGGTGCTCAAGTGTTCATTTCTGTAAATTACTGCAAAGATTAAAAGGAAGGGACAAAAAGGAAGCCCCCTGTCCCACTGGGTTTTACCTAGTAGAAGTTGCTGAATGAAAGTCCTTTGATGGGCAAGAAGCTATTCTGAGGTCACTAATCTAAAGTAGGCAAAGATTCCCGTAAAGAATGCTGCCATTTCTTCCCTAGTGTGATAAAATATATTAGAATTCAAAGTCAGCTAGGGGTCAGATTAGAAGAGCTATCTGCAGGCTTAAAACAATAATATTAATAATAGTAGTAGTCACAGAACTTTCCATTAATGATGATGATAAACATGTGCCAGGCACTGAACTAATGCTATGTACATAAATCACAACAACCCTTGAAGGATGTATTATCTTCCTTTTTATATCAGAAAATATATCTGGTGATGAGTAATGTTCCCAAGGTCAAACACCTAGCAAATGGGAAAGCTAGAAATTCAACCCAGTCTTTTAGAATCTAAAACCTATCGCTTTTCTCTTTATCACCCACATGGGTTTTTGTCTTCAATAAAGGAAAAGTTTATCCAATTAAAACTATAATTCTTCCCTCTGCCCATACTAACTAAAAATAAAAACATCAAAATACACTACAAAATGAAAAAGGAAAAAAATTGATAAATCCACAGTATCTGATAATAGCAATTAATAGTCATTTAGAATAACAATATTCTTCAAGGAAAGTAGCTTAAAGCAAAGAGTCATCCAAAAGACAAAATGATTTTCAACTCCTATTTATATTTAATATCACATTTTTAAAGAAAAGCTATATAAGAAGCATACGTTAGAAAAATACTATAAAAGGGTTAAGAAGTTCAATATTGATTGAGTCATAAACAAAAGTTAAAGTCCACACTTTATAAAACTAACAAAATTAACATGAAACCCTTTTAGCTAATATAAGATCATGTGACAAAAAACATCAGATTACAAATAACAGTCAATAGTATAAAAGAATAGTATATACTATAGTTCCTGCTATATGTTGTTATGTTGCCCAGCCCAAGTAACTACTTTTCTACCTGATGATTTGTGTTGATATTTTTTACTATATCCCAACATTTAAGAGCTAATCTTATTAATTTAATATTTATAACCTGAATGACTATAACCACTCTAGAACAACACTCAAGTTTAAAAAAATACCTTTTCAACTTATCGACTTCATTTATATTTCCTTTTTTCTGTACTAAAAATTCCACCATTTGCTGTTTTTCTCCATTTATAGCAAGCAAAAGCGGTGTGAGTTCAGCCTGTAAAACAGCAAAAACAATAGTTCACAAAATTAAATATTCCTCAACTGAACTGAAACCTTATGTAAGATTCCATGAATGTACACACGTAATATATAGAAAGTAAATAAAAAGCAGCCCCTTCCTTCTCACTCCTCTGTGCTTTCCCATGTGCTGCTCTTTCCCTTGGAAACACCCCTCTTCTGCCTCACCACATTTACTCTGGTCATCTCCAAAACTCACTCCAACTTGCAGGACTCTGCTTCTATCACAGCATTTACGATGGTATATTATAATCATTTCACTGTTTCCCATCCAAACCAGGAGCTTCTTGAGGCCAGGGGCTTTTCTCTCTGTATCCCTAAACCCTAAGACATAGTAGATGCTTTAAGTTTTAAAGCATTTAAGTATTTTTATCAAATCAATGATCTAAACTATTATCTCTAGAGCAGTGGTTCTTAAGCTATATTCCAAAGAATATTTACTTTACCAGAAGTTAAGGACTATATCCCAACAGAAAGATTTCATGATCATCCATGTTTGAGAAATAGTACACAACTGTGCCTTATATGTCTAGTATTAAAGAAATCTCTTAAACCATGCCTAATCCCTATTTGACACCATTTTTTTTGTGTGTAACAAACATTAACATTTGAGGAGTTAGGTTTCCAGGGATACAGTTTTAAAAGCTTTCCAATAAAGGTGGAGGTTTCCTCTGGGTGACAGCTTGACTGTCTTCCATCAATGGTGTGAGGATCCTAGACGCCAATCAGGCATTACTGCTCCAAATGGGTCACTAAGGAAAGGAGCTCTGAATTAAAATGACCTTCCAGAACTTATTAAATGGGAATGGTACATGGGTTTTCTCCTATTACAAAATCATAGATTTTACTCTTCCCTGTTAGAAAGCTCAGTAAGAAATTTTATTCTCAATTATAATGATAATCCTGGAACCCTAATGCATATCTGCTTTTTATGATCCATTTTTATTCTGGTTTCCATTTAAATCTCTTTCATATAAATTAATAGGAACTGGTCAACAGCAGCCAAGATTTCCATTTTTTATAAAATGCTTTTGTTTTATTTGAGTTTTAAGATAAAGCCTATATCCAGGGAAAATTTTGCTTTCCTGTGTTGTTTTACACACAGATTAAGAATAAAAAAAGCTGGTGGGAAAAAAGTATTTGGAAAAAAAAAGTTTTACCTTTAACAAATTCAATGTTTTCACAGCTTTACCATAAATGCATAAAAGAACGCTATTCCTTCTAATACTTCTTTAAAAGTATTAATATTAAAAGTTAAATCTTAAGCCGGGCGCGGTGGCTCACGCCTGTAATTCTAGCACTCTGGGAGGCCGAGGCCGGCAGATTGCTCGAGGTCAGGAGTTCAAAACCAGCCTGAGCAAGAGTGAGACCCCGTCTCTACTGTAAACAGAAAGAAATTAATTGGCCAACTAATATATATAGAAAAAATTAGCCGAGCATGGTGGCACATGCCTGTAGTCCCAGCTATTTGGGAGGCTGAGGCAGGAGGATTGCTTGAGCCCAGGAGTTTGAGGTTGCTGTGAGCTAGGCTGATGCCACGGCACTCACTCCAGCCTGGGAAACAAAGTGAGACTCTGTCTCAAAAAAAAAAAAAGTTAAATCTTAGACAATTAAGTTATTTCAAAATATTTTCACTCAGGGAATGTTTGAGCGTCCAAATATGGAAAATTGACCCTTACATTTGTCAAGGTTAAAACAAATGCATTTCAAATATTTTGAAAATAAAGTCAATCTATACCTTGTTTTTTGCTTCAATATTTGCATTGTGTAAAAGCAGTTTCGCTGTTATTGGTATATTTTCATTGTAGACAGCATAGTGGAGAGCAGTGTTGCCATGGACATCTGTAAGATTTGGATCTGCACCATGTTCTAGCAGAATAGTTGCACATTCCTCTTCCTGGCATTGTACGGCCTGTTAGTATTACACCAAGAAATGGATGGTAAATTCTAGGAATTGAAAATAAACATTCCACAGATTTCACCCAGTAGTTATATTTAAAGCAGATAAATTCATTTTTATTCTATGTATTTAAATCAAATCATCTCATGCTGAAATAGCTGGCTACCATATACCTTCATCAGAGCTGTCCTGTTTTCACTGTCACACATGTTAAGCTGGCATTTTCTGTCCACCAGGAGCGTCACAACTTCTGAATGGCCGTTGGCACAGGCCAAATGTAGAGCAGTCCTATGAAAGGGAGAGGATGTTTTAGGAAACTGTAGTGTGCTACCTCAAAATATTCATGTAATTATAAACATTAAGTAGCATGTTATTCTTCTGCCTTCAAAACAAATATTTAATTTTCTTCTTAAAAAGGCATAATACTTATTAGCTGTTATTACCCACTACACTAATGAGAGAGTAGCCTATGTGAATTGAAAGAGCTTGGCCTCTGGATTCAGTTCAACTTAAGTTTGGATCCTACTTTAAGTTCTGTCACTTAGTAGCTATCACTCAGCCTTTCTGTGCTCAATTCCTCATCAATAAAATGAGGACAAAAATAGTAGCTGTTTACTGCTACTATTGCTGATGTCTAAATCAGAATCTATGCAAAGTATTTAGAACAGTTCCTAGAAAAAATAACAGCTTAATAATTCTTAGATATTCTAATTATTACTATTACAAATACTTAATAAAGATATTTTAATTAAATAAAATGATACAATTGTATCTAATTTTGCAGTATGTTTTAAACATCAGTGATAACACTTTCTTCCAATGATTCTAAGATGCTCATGTTCTCACATTTTGACATCTCTTTGGAATGCCACTTGTAATTCATGACTCATTAAAACTACAACTGGCAACATTTAAAAAATTCTTATTGATACATAAAATAAATGGGGCATCATACAATCCATGGTGCCTTACATTAAGTCAAATATGGCCTATACAACAGTCTCATGGCAGTTCTACTCATTGGCATTTAAATAAATTTTAGTTTTAAAAAGTACTATGAGGCCGGGCACAGTGGCTCACGCCTATAATCCCAGCACTCTGGGAGGCCGAGGTAGGTGGATCGCTTAAGGTCAGGAGTTCGAGACCAGCCTGAGCAAGAGTGGGACCCCATCTCTACTAAAAATAGAAAGAAATTAATTGGCCAACTAAAAATATATAGAAAAAATTAGCCGGGCATGGTGGTATATGCCTGTAGCCCCAGCTACTAGGGAGGCCTGAGGCATAAGGATTGCTTGAGCACAGGAGTTTGAGGGTGCTGTGAGCTGGGCTGATGCCACAGCATTCTAGCCAAGGCAAAAAAAAAAAAGAAAAAAAAAGTACCATGGATTCACTTGACCAGCTAAAAAAGCAAAAAAAAAAAGCAAAAAAGAAGTACTATGGAAAAAGAGAGTTGAAATAACAAATTTTTAAAACAAATTAATTCTTACTTTGATTTTCAAGAAAACTTTAACCAAAAGGAAATTCAGGATTCAAATGAATATTATTCAATATTTAGAGTTATAGAATGTATGCAAATCAAGATGTTTCTAATGATTAACAGTAGTTAATACTGTTATAAATTTTCAAAAGGGCAGTTAAAGGTTTTCTTTTACAATTTTCTAGCTTTAGAAATACTTTTGTTTGAAAGGAGGGAGAAAAAGCGTCACTTGAGGCTAAGTCCTAATATTCCAATTTTAAATCTCTCAACTTTCACAGGCTAAGCAGGGAAATACAAAGTTTTCAAGGATGGAAAAATCCTAAGAGATAGCAGAGTATGTCTGCTACAGAATAGTATTCAGGTTATGTTTGATTAATAAATAGAGTGAAAGAATGGATAAATAAAACTTGGGAGTTCAATATTTTTAAAGAAAACTCTTATAAAGTAAAGCAATATTTTTGCAATAGTAATAATCATTTATATTTGCTGTTTTTTATTTTCATAAGGACACAACTTTTTTTTTTTTTTTTTTTTTTTGAGACAGAGTCTCGCTTTGTTTTCCAGGCTAGAGTGAGTGCCGTGGCGTCAGCCTAGCTCACAGCAACCTCAAACTCCTGGGCTCAAGCGATCCTCCTGCCTCAGCCTCCCGAGTAGCTGGGACTACAGGCATGCGCCACCATGCCCGGCTAATTTTTTTTTTATATATATATCAGTTGGCCAATTAATTTCTTTCTATTTATAGTAGAGACGGGGTCTCGCTCTTGCTCAGGCTGGTTTTGAACTCCTGACCTTGAGCAATCCACCCGCCTCGGCCTCCCAAGAGCTAGGATTACAGGCGTGAGCCACAGCGCCCGGCCAGGACACAACTTTTGATTAATTTATAATTTTTTACACATATAATAAATCTATATATAATAAAAACGTGTATATGATAAAATGTATACATCATAAAATCTACAAAATGATTCCCTTTACTTCTGGAATGGATGAAAGTTAACAGAGGACACCAATCCACAAATATAATTTTAAAAGTTAATAGAAATTATTTTTATCTGTACAAGATTCATATTCCTACTCTTCCCGAGGATTATTTCATTAATAAAATTTTACTAGAACTTTTATATATGCTTATTGTAGAAATCACAGAAAAGAAAAACGAAAAAATTTCACTTATTAATACAAATGCCCAGCCGGATGCGGCAGCTCATGCCTGTAATCCTAGCACTCTGGGAGGCCGAGGCAGGTGAGTTCAAAACCAGCCAGAGCAAGAGAGAGGCACCGTCTCTACTATAAATAGAAAGAAATTAATTGGCCAACTAATATACATAGAAAAAATTAGCCGGGCATGGTGGCGCATGCCTGTAGTCCCAGCTACTCTGGAAGCTGAGGCAGCAGGATTGCTTGAGCCCAGGAGTTTGAGGTTGCTGCGAGCTAGGCTAACGCCACAGCACTCACTCTAGCCTGGGCAACAAAGCGAGACTCTGTCTCAAAAATAATAATAATAATACAAATGTCCAGAAATAACATATTTTATCACGTTTTGTACATATTTTTGGCTAACATAAGACCATCCTCTCTTTGAGTGTATGAATAATCAAACTGATTTTTTTCTCACTTGTTATACTAGGGTACATTTTTACATGTCAACATAGTTTGGGGCTGGGCGTGGAGGCTCACGCCCATAATCCAGAGGCGGGCGGATTGCTCAAGGTCAGGAGTTCAAAACCAGCCTGAGGAAGAGCGAGACCCCATTTCTATTATAAATAGAAAGAAATTAATTGGCCAACTAATATATATACAAAAAATTAGCCGGGCATGATGGCGCATGCCTGTAGTCCCAGCTACTCGGGAGACTGAGGCAAAAGTATCGCTTTAGCCCAGGAGTTTGAGGTTGCTGTGAGCCAGGCTGACGCCAGGGCACTCACTCTAGCCTGGACAACAAAGTGAGACCCTGTCTCAAAAACAAAAAAAAAACACCAAAAAACATACTTTTATTATCTATGCCACTTACAATGTTCACATATTATTCCAACCTATGCATGCACTGAAATTTATTCATAAAATCCATTATATGGGTTCTTCTTAATAAACTGCTATTTTAAGCAGTGCTGAGAAAAACCAATTGCATGCATCTCTAAATATTTCCTAGATATTTTAGTATAATAGAATTGATGAATTAGGGCATAGACATTTTTTTAAATGCAGCAAACTGTCCATTCAAAAAGTCATAAGCAACTTAAACCTTAGGCAACAAAATACCTCTGCTCTTCAACCTTCCAAACTTCATGGATGGAAAACAGTATTTCACCCCTCTTTTAATTTAAATTCCTTCTCTTACCAAGGACACTATTTTTCCCTATGTGCTTAACTTGTACATCTGCAAAAAGGTAATTTGCCCAATTCTAAATTCAAGTTTAGTTTTTGTTTTGTTGACTTGAAAGAATTATCTGTTAAATAAAGATAAGTTTTTCAACTGATTATATATGTTGTAAATATTTTGCAAGTATGTTGTCTTTTGTTAATTTTTTTCTGATATACAGGGGGTTTTAATTTTTATTTTGCTCAGTCAACCTTCAGAATGCTTGCTTGTGAGGTCATTCCTAAAAAGGTCTTTGTCAACCATTAAAATGTACCTGTATAAATATGCATTTGTGTTTTCTTCTAGTACTTTTCTCATCTTGTATACTTAAACTTTTTTAATCTATATTCCATCAGGAACTTATTTTTGTGAGGTAAACATCTAGCTAGTTTTCTCCAAACAGTTAACAGGCACTTGATTTATGAAAAATTCATCTAATCTGAAATGTCACCATTATCAAGTTCTAAATTCTTACCTATATTTGGGTGTCTCTGGATTTTCTATTCTGTTCCATTCATTTACCTGTCTTTTCAGCTATTAGCAAATGGTTAATCTGTGTAAATTAATAGTGCATTTTGATAGCTAGAAGGGCAAGTCTTTGTTTACTCCATTACAAATATTTTCTTAATGCCTTCACTATAGTAAAAGACAATGTGTGTAACTAAAAAAATTTTAAAACCTTGATATTTTTATTTGGTTTATGTAAAACTCATAAACACAGAAAAAGCTCACATTTTAAGAAAAATGAGTCTTCCCACCTCATAGTTTCTTTCTGGGCCTCTCAGTAAAGAACATATATTCATAGAAGTACACTGATATAAAATGGATATTGGATTTTATCCGAAGAATTTTTAGCCCAGAAATTGACACATTATGGGAATTATTTCTCACATCACGCATCTTTCTATAACATCTTTTTAAATGTGTACTTTAAAAATAAAATGCTGTATACACTTAATTTTGTTAGTTAAATCACTTAAAATTTTTCAATAAAGTGCTCTATAAGGGGAATTATGAGGCCGGCGCCCTTTAATACTAACACTCTGGGTTCGAAAATACTAACACTCTGGGTTCGAAACCAGCCTGAACAAGAGAGAGACCCCGTCTCCACTAAAAATAGAAAAAAATTAGCGGGTCATGGCGGTGGCGCTGCCTGTCACCTGTAGTGCCAGCTACTTGGGAGGCTGAGACAGGAGGATCCCCTGAGCCCAGGAGTTTGAGGTTGCAACTGGACTACGATGAAGCAAGCCACTGCTCTCCAGGCCGGGCGACAAAGCGGAGACTCTGTCTCAAAAATAAAAGTGGAGGGGTGGGGATTATAAGTGGATAGGAAAGCAGCTAAAAATCTGTGTTTGTTTTGCCGCTCATACAGACGGTCTGGGCGCTCGACCCTCCTCGGTTTCCACGTCCCAGGTGCTGAGAGCCGTGGAGGGAAGAAAGCCGGGCACCCTCGGTGACAGGGGGCTCGGGTTCCCGGCCCAGCCCGGGAAGGGGCGCTTGCCCCACATCCGCCGGCAGCCCAGCTCGCAGTTCCCATTACCTGCTCATCTTGTCTCTATCATTCAAGCCATTTTTCCTCAGCAAAAGGATCTGCTGCACTTTCGCCACCTGACCCAGGCTGGCGGCCTTGTGGATCTTGCCGAGGTCCCTGTCCCGGACGTGGTACCCGGGCTGCGAGTAGACGCCGTTGCCATGCTCACAGCCGACACCCGCGCCGGTCCTCCGCCGGCCGGAGAAGGAGGCCAAGGGCGACTCGCCCTTCTTACCAAAAATCTTCTTCATGGCAGGGGCTACTGGCTTCAGAGACACCTCATTTTGCCCTCGGGTGTTAGCTTTTGTCCGCCGCCCCGGCCCAGTACTAACAAACCAACCCAGCGCGCCCACAGCCTCCAGCAAGGAAACTCCGCGGTTTCCAATCTCGCAGAACCCCAGACCAGCGGCCAAAATCGGTGAACGGAAGTGCGCCTGCGCGCCTCAGAAAGCAACGTCACTGCGCGTGTGCAAAAGCACTTGGCGCGCAAGGGTGCTCAGTGCGCATGTGCATAGCCCAAGCTTCGCAAATCTCGGCAGGTGTTTGTAATCCGCGCTGCCTGAGGTCCTGTCGGCGGGATTTGATAAGAGCGTTCAGGTCATTTGCTAAAGGAGGACTCGCGCCTGTGTGAAAGCAGCCTTGACACTCCACTAGGTTGGAGTAGCGTGGAGCTTTAAAATGCTGAAGGCCTCATCCCCCTAGAAAACGTCCCTGAGAAACTCTAAATCTCCTTATCCTTCAGTTTATTCTCATTCCCCATCCCAGATGGTCTGCATAGGAATTTAGCAGATGCAACAGCAGAAGGCTGTTTTCGTGGTTTCAGAGACTGTGCCAGTATGTGTCATTATGTGCAAACTTAGGAGGAGAAACCAATGAACATTCTCCAGAAGACATAAAAGCACATTTCTGCATGTCTCCTTCCCTCCCCTTGGGCCCGGCCTTAGGCCTGTGTCCTTTATGCTTTTGTGTTATTTTTGCTTTTATTTCCCAGCTTAAATTTGTAATCAATCTATGACTTACTTTGGAGCATGGTATAACATTTAAGAACTTTTTTTTTTTTGAGACAGAGTCTCACTTTGTTGCCCCAGCTAGAGTGAGTGCTGTGGCATCAGCCTAGCTCACAGCAACCTCAAACTCCTGGGCTCAAGCAAGCCTTCTGTCTCAGCCTCCCGAGTAGCTGGACTACAGGAATGTGCCACCATGCCCAGCTAATTTTTTCTATATATATTAGTTGGCCAATTAATTTCTTTCTATTTATAGTAAAGACGGGTCTCGCTCTTGCTGAGGATGGTTTCGAACTCCTGACCTCGAGCAATCTGCCTGCCTCGGCCTCCCAGAGTGCTAGGATTACAGGCGTGAGCCACCGCACCTGACCCATTTAAGAACTTTTTTAAAAATTGCAATTCACTTGTCCCAAACAATCCATCTCTTCTCACTAGGTTAAAATGCCATTTTATCTTACCTTAAATTCTTAGGTATTTTTGGTTTCTGGATTTTCATTCTTTTCTATTCAATGGTCTCCTTCTTGCATCATTACTCCACTGTTTTAACTTCTTTAATTATAGAATATATTTTAATAATTGTTACAAAGTTCCCCTCCTTATTCTTTTTCAGTATTCTCTTGGCAGTGTTTACCTCTACATTGCTTTGGATGAATTTTTAATCCTATGCCAAGTTTAACAGAATTGTTGACATATTTATGTCTGGGCTTTGTCACTTTTTTATTACGATGGTGTGTTTCCATTATAATTTGTTCTTAAGAGATTATTGTTTTAATATCTATGTATTGATTTTAACAGTGTAAGGAATTATTTTAAGCTATAATTTTGTAAGAGGAAGAGTTGACAATTTCTAGCAAGTACTTAAAGAAGGCACTAATTGGACAGTAGAGATTTCACCCAAAGGATTTAATGTGGAAGAATGGCATGATGAGATCGAGGTCCCTGTCCCGGACTGTCCGGGCTGCGAGTAGACGCCGTTGCCATGCTCACAGCGACACCGCGCGGTCCTCCGCCGGCCGGAGAAGGAGGCCAAGGCGACTCGCCCTTCTTACCAAAATCTTCTTCATGCAGGGGCTACTGGCTTCAGAGACACCTCATTTTGCCTCGGGTGTTAGCTTTTCCGCCGCCGCGGCCCAGTACTAGCAAACCAACCCAGCGCGCCCACAGCCTCCAGCAAGGAAACTCCGCGGTTTCCATCTCGCAGAACCCAGACCAGCGGCCAAAATCGGTGAACGGAAGTGCGCCTGCGCGCTCAGAAAGCAACGTCACTGCGCGTGTGCAAAAGCACTTGGCGCGCAAGGGTGCTCAGTGCGCATGTGCATAGCCCAAGCTTCGCAAATCTCGGCAGGTGTTTGTAATCCGCGCTGCCTGAGGTCCTGTCGGCGGATTTGATAAGAGCGTTCAGGTCATTTGCTAAAGGAGGACTCGTGCCTGTGTGAAAGCAGCCTTGACACTCCACTAGGCTGGAGTAGCGTGGTGCTTAAAATGCTGAAGGCCTCATCCCCCTAGAAAACGTCCCTGAGAAACTCTAAATCCCTTATCCTTCAGTTATTCCTCATTCCCCATCCCAGATGGTCTGCATAGGAATTTAGCAGATGCAACAGCAGAAGGCTGTTCTCTGTTTTCAGAGACTGTGCCAGTAGTGTCATTATGTGCAAACTTAGGAGGAGAAACCAATGAACATTCTCCAGAAGACATAAAAGCGCATTTCTGCATGTCTCCTTCCTCCCCTTGGGCCCGGCCTTAGGCCTGTGTCCTTTATGCTTTTGTGTTATTTTTGCTTTTATTTCCCAGCTTAAATTTGTAATCAATCTATGACTTACTTTGGAGCATGGTATAACATTTAAGAACTTTTTTTTTTGAGACAGAGTCTCACTTTGTTGCCCAGGCTAGAGTGAGTGCTGTGGCATCAGTCTAGCTCACAGCAACCTCAAACTCCTGGCTCAAGCATCCCTCTGTCTCAGCCTCCCCAGTAGCTGGACTACAGGAAGTGCCACCAGGCCGGCTAATTTTTTCTATATATATAGTTGGCCAATTAATTTCTTTCTATTTATAGTAAAGACGGGTCTCGCTCTTGCTGAGGATGGTTTCGAACTCCTGACCTCGAGCAATCTGCCTGCCTCGGCCTCCCAGAGTGCAGGATTACAGGCGTGAGCCACCGCACCTGACCCATTTAAGAACTTTTAAAAATTGCAATTCACTTGTCCCAAATAATCCATCTCTTCTCACTAGGTTAAAGTGCCATTTTATCTTACCTTAAATTCTTAGGTATTTTTGGTTTCTGGATTTTCATTCTTTTCTATTCAATGGTCTCCTTCTTGCATCATTACTCCACTATTTTAACTTCTTTAATTATAGAATATATCTTAATAATTGTTACAAGTTCCCCTCCTTATTCTTTTTCAGTATTCTCTTGGCAGTGTTTACCTCTACATTGCTTTGGATGAATTTAAATCCTATGCCAAGTTTAACAGAATTGTTGACATATTTATGTCTGGGCTTTGTCACTTTTTTATTACGATGGTGTGTTTCCATTATAATTTGTTCTTAAGAGGTTATTGTTTTAATATCTATGTATTGATTTTAACAGTGTAAGGATTATTTTAAGCTATAATTTTGTAAGAGGAAGAGTTGACAATTTCTAGCAAGTACTTAAAGAAGGCACTAATTGGACAGTAGAGATTTCACCCAAAGGATTTAATGTGAGAATGGCATTGATGGTTATGTAAAAAAAAATCATATAAAATTGAACAATATGGTTGGGTTTTATTAAAGGCAAAATAATAGCTAAAAATTTATGAATATATGATAGTTATTTTTCTCAAATCCTTTTAGCCAAATTTTCAGTGATTACTTAGCTATAGGACATCTAAGTTTTTTGTTTCTCCTTAGTGTTTCCCTTCGTTCCATTGCTCTATCCATCCAATCCATTCCCCATTCCTGTATCTAATCATCATACTAACTTTGTATAGTTTTATTCCTGTTTTTATAAAGCCTCTTGTGCTATATACACTTTTCAACTACTCTTTAATCTTACAGTCTTACAGTCCAAGATCAATTCCCTTGCTTTCTTTCTCAATCTGCAACTCTTGTGTTTCAGTCTTTATTCTATTTCTTAGGAGGCAAGTATGTTGACTCCATACTCCATAGAAACTGGTATAAACAGGTGAGTGCATACAAAAACTTTTAATTACTTGATTTAGTAATTACTTCCAGTTGGACTATGGTATTGTTGGTGAAGCAGACAGGAGCAGCAGTAATCCACACAACTAAAACACAACCAGAAACCCAAAGCTCACCAGGTTCCTGATATTTATTAACAATTTCAAGAGTTAACCAAAATAAAGAGCAACAGAAATCGCGATTGCATAAGATGCACCAACAAAATTGAAATTTCACAGCTATATTTCACAGTGAGACAAATTAATAAGATAATTATTCTTCAGAGGCCATATAATGCAATTTTTAATTGAATAATTTGACAATAAATGGAATTAGCAACTCAGAGGCCAAAGTATCTCGACCTTCAGGAGAAATTGCTGCTGGAACACACCTACAGAGCTCTGTAGAGTGCCAGAGTCCCTGCCCAGGAGGGGCTGGTTCCAGCATGGGCATCTTTATTGGTGAGAGAGCAATAAGCAAAAACAAATTTTAAAAACTAGCATTCTCAGCCTAATCACCTTATCTAGGTCAAATGGTTATGGTGTATGTGGGAGTGATTTAAACTATGATCACTAAGCATTTGTCTCCTCCACTAGCCCAGTTAGAAAGTTACCTTGTCCTATTTGTCTTTCAGGTAACCTAGAAACTACCCAAGGCTTCCATAGTTGACAGCTGAACAGAAGACTCTGACAGTCCCAGCACAGTCTTAAGTGGGAGTTAGATCTTACCAAGCTTTAGAGACAGGAATCACATACCAGGCCTCTGAGTAGGTGTAGAGATTTAGTTGATGCTAATGTTTTGTATAGACCAGAGATACTCAAGGAATATATGTTAGTCCAACTCTGAGGCTTCATTTGTTGGTTAAATGCTATCTGGATCCCCAAAGAGTTTCTTGGGTACATTGAAACCTAAGCTCTCTCATCCCAGACTTCTGTGGAAATTAATTTCAGATCCAGCGTGGACACCCTCTATAAAGTTGTCACTTAGAACTTCCATGCCTATCTAAGGCTTGAATAATGCCCTGGTCTATAATCTATAGCCTATAGACCTAGCTGTCCTGTAACTTCATGTAATAGTTATGTTAATGGACTAATAATGACTTAGATAAATATTTGTTTTAGGCTGAGAGAGTGGCTCACACCTTTAATCCTAGCACTCTAGGAGGCTGAGGCAGGTGGATTGCTTGAGGTCAGGAGTTCGAAACCAGCCTGAGTAAGAGCGAGACCCGTATCTACTATAAATAGAAAGAAATTAATTGGC